TGAATGGCCACGGCATCCAAGTATCCTTCCCCTGTAAGATCTTGGTATGACATCTTAACTAAAACTTGCTTTCCCAACGACTATGCTGTACCCCTATGCTATTTTTTAGCTTAGCTCCTATCTACTTCTGTAAGCTACTACATTTAAGGTTAAGATAGGGCGCGAAACGGGTTCCTTAAGAATTACTGGAAAGAACTGCTTATAACCTAAATCCGCTTGAATTTCCTTCCCTAGCAAGTAATTACAATCCTGATACTTGCCATGAAAACGACAACTGTGCCGTGAGTTTCGCATGAAGAGATTCATATACTTAATTCCAGTTCTTATTCAGCATACCTTCGTTTTCTCCCAGATCCATGGCTCCGTTTTCATCATGTCCATGACCTTTACGCTTCTTCATTTCTATGCAATAGTCTGTGGGGAAGATGAGTTAATGAACGCTTCCACAAACTAGGGTTTATACCACAGAAAAAGAAGCATAGTTAGTAGTATACAAGTTTATCAAATCTACGGTTACACCGCTATGGAAGAAAAATGCAAAAAACATAAAGCATGCACCAATCATTGGACAGTTTGACAGAAATAAAAATGAGCCAGAAGACAAAATGGTACAGAAAACTAAGTGAGGTCCACTGCTAAACGAGGGCGAATCTCATAGAGGCATAGAGGGTGAACGTAAATTTCTCGCGTAGAACGCATGATGCAGAGCGTATGTGGAGAAGAGCCGCTTTGCGGTTAGTTCGCTTCCATGAGAAGCCCTTCGTTTAGCACTTTGAATGTTAAAAATGCAAGCATTGCTTACAACTGCGACAAAATCTCGCTGAGAAATACCGAATACAAGCAAAGCAATAATAAAATATTAGACATTTGCTAACATAGCACAAAAAAAGCAAAACTAGAACTCTACTTGTGACCAGAAATCATTTGATGCGGAGGCAGGAACGTATTCGGAACTTTGGCTAACTTCATTGTCATCCTAAAGAATGCGGATAAAAACTTTTAGAGAAGATTTTAGGAAACCAAACTCACCACAATTCCTCTAAAAGCACTTTCGAAGTGATCAAATGCACTCGTATGTGGTTGACTTTGGCAATCAAGATCTTGCGAGATGTGATAGGGTGGCGATGATATTCGGCTTATGGTGCCGCTATGAGTCCAAGATCAATGACTGAGGATGCACAACAAAAATCCTACCTTTCAGGATTTGCACATTCACGTGACTGACTATCTAGACGGAGAATGCTACCAAATCGAAGACTGCTCACTCCAGAGCTCGAGGAACTAGAAAGTTTCTATAAAAATCGAACACACAAGAGTTCCAAAAAATTAGTAAGAACCTGCAAGGCCCAGAAGTCGGACGATCAGTAGATACCGAGGAAGAAAACACTGCTAGACGTTTTAGACATTCCAGATCATCGTCACTGTCCGAGTCTTCAGCACTGTCACTGTGTTCGCCAGTACCTTGAATAGTAAGCATGCAGATCAAGTTAAGAAAAATTTTCAAAAAAGGTCCAATAAGAATCAAAAGTGATGTTTAAAAGGTACAAACTCTCGAATCCAGGTTCGCTGTCAGCCCAGAAACTGCAAAGGTTGAGTAACTCGTTCATGAGCATTGCATCGTCTTTCGTGAAATCTTCATCACAGCCACTGAAAAAAGACTCACTACGTCAGCTGATTGCACTAGGCACTTACAGTGTAATCAAAGCAAACTATTACAGAAAATCTTATAAAGCCTACATGTTTCGAGCAGACCAGACAACTCCACTTAAATAGGTACTATTAGGTCGCGCCGAAAGTTCTGTCGTTTCATTTTCA